GTAAAATGTAAAATAAGAATACCTAATCGCACCACAATCGTAGCTTTTTGGAGCGATTTGAATTATGTACAATTTATTAAGTAGTAATCACATTCAAAAAATTAATGAATCGCATCGCACCCAAAACGGATTAACATTCGTTGGTAAGCAACGATTAGGGTAATCGGATCGCACCCAAAACGGAGAGCCATTGGGTGCCTTATTGGGGAGAGTTTGGATACTCCGACGATGGAATGTGCATCGCGTGCCCTACTCCTAAAGGTTTGTTTGGATGGAGTAAAACTTGCTCGCTGCCTAAAACGACGCAGTTTTTGGAAATAAGGGTAAACCCGTAAACTATTATAAGATTGTGGGTGTGGAGCTTCTGCGCCTTATTTGGATAACGGGGAAGGCCCAACAACGGTAAGTGATTGCAAGGCCAAGTGTGATCGAGATTGCAAGTGTTTGGGCTTTTTTTCAATGAAGAGAAGGAGAAGAAATGTTTGACTGCTCCTATACTTTGGTACCCTCATCAAAGAAGTCAATACTTCAATTGGTTACATCAAGTATTGAAAGTTTTCAGGAGAGTTATTTGCATTAAATAAATAATTTAATGAATAATCAGCGAGGGAGTTATGATTCACTATAAGAAATAAGTATATAAAACGTATGTCTTTTTAAAATTTTCCAAATAAATGTTATATATCACATATAGATGTCATAGTGTTTTTCCTTCACTAAGTAATTAATGCTTTTGTAACATGATTGAGTTCGATTATGTTGTACATTTTATATTTGTCTATTAGTTAATGATTTGATTTGGATGCCGTGGGACCGTTTTCTTGTTTGAATGAGTACATGTAAGAAAGCCGTAGATTTAATATTCTTTTAAGAACGATTTTCAGTGAATTTAGAAAAATCAAAACCTAGGAGAGTAGGTAGGTAATATGTTTTTTTTTATATAAAGTAAGGGAATCCAAAAAACTTTTTTTTTTAAACTATTCAAATAAACTGTTGGATCATGGATATTCACCAAGTTTATTAGATGTAATTTTCTAACAATGATTGGTCAGTAGCTCAGTGGCAGCTAAAAAGAGAGATTC